GCACAGTACTAGTGGACTGCAAGATGTTCAGCATCAGAGATGCATATTGGGGTCACAATCAATAGCTTCTTATTCAGTCACTGTGTTAATTCTCAAGTAAAGCAATTTACCAAGGCATCTATTGCTTCAGTAATGGAGTGTGGGGGTGCAGTTCAGGTGGGTACAGGAAATGACAGAAGCCCATGCCTTTCTTTCACATTGAATAACAACTAACCAATCAGTACAAAGAAGAAAACAATTGTATTTTTGCAGGCTTCAGTCTCATAGACCGTGACAAGAATACAAATTCACCACAAACTACAAATATAAGTATGCCAAGGTCAGATCAATTACAGTTCATCAAGTACATAAAGAACAGACCCTCCAGAATTCTATGTAGGGTTTACAAAGGAAGAACTCTGCCTCCTCCACTTCTGACATCATTCTGATCTTGATTATTGCATTACATTGTATGTCAAGAATCAGACATGAGAGCATGTGGCTTGCAAGCATCCTTGCAATTAAGTAACATACAGATAACCCCACCTCTCTCCTGTCACTGATTAACCTGCATTATCAGCACAGGTTTTCAACTATGTAATGATTTTTTTTCCTTAAGATCTAATGCCGATATCTAGCCCCCAGTTGTCCTGACTTAATGGAAATTGTTTCTGATACAGAGGTTGATAAATGGGGTGCTCTGTACAACTTTGATAAAGTAAAATTCTCACTGGTTTCAGCAGAATGCACAAGTTTTAGCACAGCAAGGCATTTAATGAGGGTGGACACAATGAGGTTAGAGACAAAATATGAAATCAATGTCATTCTTCTTCCCTCTAGAGATATACAGGTAGTATGAGTGCATGGCGAACGGTTCCAAGCATGAAAACAAAGGGTTTCTGAGCTACTTCAGTTGGTAAAGGGGTGTTGTTGGAGGACTGGTTTGCCATATTCTTTAGAACATCTGATACTTTCTGAAGTACAAACCACATAATAGCTAAGGTGATAGCATCTATGGACAAACCCAGCTGTCCACATATACAACCATCTTCATGCATACTATATGAGCCATGAAATTACATGTACAGGCAAACCTGGACTACTTCTTCCTGTGGATGATTTTGGATAAAATATTGTACCCTTTTGACTTTTCAGCTTCTGTACAATTGTTACAATGATGCAGTAACTGCCACTTGAAGTCACAAAGCACTTAACCCCCTTTGCATTGTAAATTCCAATTTTACCACATCAAATTCTTAAAGGCTCAAATGCACTCGTCAAGGTAGGAACCAAGATGACTGGGGTGCAGGTGCATGGCTATTCAAAACAATCTATTGGCATTAATGAAATCGCAATAGATTGTACTATGAGTCATGCATTTTCAATAGTATCTCAGGTTTGTATACATCTTTCCTCTGGATGGGAGGGGAATTCATTGTCCAGATCCTTCTCCTGGCAAAGTGCACCATGCATACCATTATGTCAATGTCTTGATGGAACAAATGTAAAAGGTATGTTTCATTTATTAGGACAGAGGCAGGATACAATCCCCTGATACATTACTGTAGATTAAAACATCCTTACCATACTCTGATTATGCAAAAGAGGCTTTGTGTGATTGATACAATTTCACAAACTGAGCTCTGCAGGACCTTGTTGATTGCAGTACACTTGATATGGGTGGAAATAATTAATTGAACAGGCATTGATTTTTTACTGAGAGGATTTGTATTCATAACAGAATCCCATGCTTGTATAGAACTAGAATAGAGGAAGATGCTCATTGTTTAGCCAGCCAAAATCTCTATGGAGACACAAGTTACATTATAAGCTGTTATGGTACATTGTGCTTCTTGTCAATAAGCGCTGTTCTGATTTAGACTGCATGGTCTGAACAGCAGTCTCCTGTTTAATTGACAATACTTCCCTTTAGATAAATTTTTTACTTGAGCAACATGTATAGGCCAGCAAGGATCTAAAAAATCCCCTAGTTCCTCAATGGTGTGAAAAAACACAGTAAGTGTTGAACTGACCAAAAAGTTAAAGAAAAGTTAAGAGATGGATGTACTGTAGATACTTTTATTTGCATCTGGCTGACAATATCCTGTGATTGCAAAGATACCTTTGGCCTGTACAAAATAAGGCAATTCATGTATCATATCACATGAAGTAATGTATGAAGAAAAAAATCACCACTTCATGGCATTTAGAAAAGTATTAAGTCATTAATCTATCTGATAGAAATATAAAAAGAAACTCCTTTTATAATGAGCTCCAGAAAGAATGTGATTGATTGCTCTTAGTGACCTGACCACTTCTCTTTGTGGAATCATACATGTAGGTTGAAAGTAAAACAGTAAATGAGTCCCTCTACACAACAGCATTTTGGAGGAGCTTCTTATAACAACAATTATTGTTTCAGCACCATGGACGTCCTGGGCTTATGTACCACTTTACTCACTTATTTAATTGTCTATATGTTAGCTGTGAAATACTCACTTGTATAGTTGTCTATTTGTTAACTGTGCAATATTTGTTTCTCTGTTTTTAAACACTAGCATACAATTCAGCGCTACTTTCTTAGTTGCGCTGCCACATGCTAGAGATTGTACTCATCGATCAATCAATAAACATTTATTATTATTATCTTGATAAGTCTCAAAGAAGTACCAACGTACTACCAACATACAAAAAAATGTAGAATTTCATTCTTTTAGCAATACCACAAGAAATATAAAGAAGGGAAGACTCAATGTTTGGTACAAGTGCATGGATATTATTCTGATTTGTCATCAATGATAATGCTAGCTGTTGGCTGTTCAGCACAAAGGACAGCAGAGTCAGTGACCTGGTAATAACAATAGGTTTGAATATTTGATTGGGATGTAGCCATCTACCTGTAAATGGCAAAATTAGGCCACTTGACCAATCTTGATTTCGCATATGGTTATTTCATTAATTCTACTTAATGATTTGCATCTACCACCACAAAGACTTGGTATATCTCCTCACACTACATATTGACCGCAAGACTAAGAATTGACCCATTCCTGACTTTGGTGGCTCGAGTTATACTTAAAATGCCATACGCACCTACCCTAAACCACACTGGGAAGCATTAGATAATGGAGTACCTCTGGTGGAGCAAGATGTCACCTACACCTTAAATGGACCCCCTATGCAGTATCAGTGGATTCTGTGGTTAGAATTTAAGACGACCTATAGAATAGTTACTTCAACTCTTGTAGCAAAGTGTATCAATCATAGTTTGTTGGGGTCATGAGGTTAATCTAGGGTTGTTTTATGTAGCTTCCTTCCACCTGTGACACTGGTCCCTTCCCGGGAGGCGGGGCAGAGTCATTGGCTACCAGTGTACAGCAAACCAGCAAGCAGAAATCCTATCTTGAGAAAATCGATTGTCAGTGATAAAAAACTTGATTGGGAAAGACGTGTCATGAATGTTAATACTTCTTGAGCAGTGTCAGTCTCTTGACAGTGTTACCTGAAAGACTTCTTTTTATTGAAAGTTACAATTTACAACATACTCATTATTACCAGTTAATTCAGATTGGATCAGACCATGCAGTTTAAGTACATTAGCAGCTTCTGAAGTATTCAATAAGCATAAAAAAATGCAATGTTTTTGTTGTTGTTGTTAATCCAACTTAAAACTGATATGAATCTTTAGGATCAAACCTTTATACCTTGGACCTCTTTTTGAAAATTACTAACTTACAATTCAAACAGGGTATGGAACATAGTTGTCATACATTTGATACCAACATTATGGAAAAGTTATTGCAGCAATGTTGAGTACTTCAGAATGGGAGTTGAGAAACTGGAGAGATGAAGAGGAAGACCCTCAGGGCCTCTCAGATTATACCTGCATGCTGTGCCTCAGTTGGCATCAGAGGGTACACCCTCCCAGCTTCCCTCAATTTTATGCCCTAGTGCACTGCAGTTTTAGTCAAGCTAATGTAGTACTATTACCATGCCATGCGCACAGAGCACTTTCTAGTTATTCTTTATGCTGCATTTCCACCAGATCCTACTTTCTGATGTACCGGGTAATCATGTTCATCCACATAACATTGAATTATGCACCTGAAGTATTATGGGGGGGGGGACCAAAGAGTTATGTTTGAAGTCATACATTGGTTTGACAAGAGTTGATTTGTGGAGCTTGCTATAGAAGCCAGCAGAGATGTAAGGCTACCCTACATAATTGTCATTCGGGATGCAATTGGAAATCTGTAATGGCTTTCCTGCACCTTGCGAATATTGATGGAAATAGGACACTGGAGGAATGTTGGGGTTGATGCTGGTGGAGATGGGTTGTGACACTTACGCTGCCAACCACGGCAATGGTGCTTAAATGTCAGGTCTGCCACCGCCTTATAAGACATAAATCATGTGTCGGTAATGGTTCCTGATGGCATCTTTTCTTTATATGTTCCAACTGTGTCTCACTAAAGCTTCTCTGCTAATAAAAAATATGAATCCCTACCAAAGCACAAGATACCAGTAGAGGTTTGACACACAATATTCCTGTGTTTTAACCTGATGCAATAGTTGATTCCTGTCATGGATGAGTCATGGATTGATGTGAAGTAATCTGAGCTTGGTGGGTCGTTTAATAGCTGGTTTAGAGCTGGTAGACATTGATTGAAGGTTTGTATGGTAGGATGATATAAGATATATGCAGGTGTATTGTTTGGCTATTACCTTCATGTGGCTTAAGATTATTTCTGCCACACGACTTTGCGTGCCTTGAAATCTAATTCGATGCAACTGGGTATGAATACATCAAAATACCATTAACATGCTGCTTCAGAAAAGCTAATGCCTTTTGAGTATGATAATGATCATCTTTATGTAGCCATAATGCTGTAATCAAGCCCATGCCATAAGGTATCTGGGACAGGTGTAAATCACCTGCTTGTGTTGCCCAATAAAAGTCAAATAAAAATGCTGCAGGATCCATAAATGCTACATTTACACTGTTTCCATTTTTCATGCAGAAAGCACATCGACATTGTCATCATTGACGATGAAGAATATGAGAAGGACGAGAATTTCTTTGTTGAGCTTGGTGAGCCCTACAAGGTCAAGCCAGAAGGAGAAGGTAAGGCTGTCATTTGTATTCCAACAGTTTTCCTACAGTTCAATATCGGCATCTGGCATAAGATCATTCCACAATATACTTAACCCAGTATTTTAGTATAGGATAAGTTTGCTACATAGTTTCTTACATGTTACACTCTAAAAATGTTCTTACTGGTGAGAAGGCTTTGAAGCCAATTGTGGTTTCAATCACTATAAGCAGTAACCGTAGTTAATGAAACAGAAGGCAATTCCTTTCTAAAGAAAATTTAATTCTCAATATGAGTTGCAGCTTTTACCTGGGAATATCCCTAAGCAGCACATTTGTGATATTAGATCTGTAATGCAGTTGGCTTAATGAGCAGTGAGGCAATAATTTTTGTACCTCTGGGTACAACTCGGATAGAACACTTTTGACTGAAAACTAGTTTACTAGAAAACTGCCTCCAAAAGGCAAATGAATGCATGTTGAAATTGACACAAAGTTCCCAGGTTACTATATAAATTGTATAAGAACTTTCTGAAGCTATCTTCTATGTTGGTATAGCACCAAGACAAATGGTACTCTGACGACCTTCATATTTTAACTGGATTAAGACTTTTGTGTGTAAATGAGGGGATTTGGAGGGGATAAGAGGTGATGCTCCCCATGGCTTCCTGTGACAGTATTTCATTATGTCAAAGTTCCTCCAGGCTTGTAGACAAGAGAACAAGACCCAGGGGTACACTCTGTTGTCATTATCTTAATGAAGTCTTTACTAGACATATTGATCAAGAATACCAGTCATTTCATCCAATATACAAAGTCAAGAAAAATTGATGTTCAACTCCAGTTTGTCAAATTCATAGTCAACAAATTATCTCTGGAATGTCAAATAAATCCCATAGTGTATTCAGTACCTTAGTATGTCTTTCCATCATATGTATTATTATGACATTATTGTATTATAATTATCATTTTTCATCAAACATGAAATGCTGTTGACGCATGCATTGTTTTCAATGGATAGTATTTCAGCACCAAGGAGAAGGCAGTGGCTATTGTTCTGGCAAACAGTGTATAGTTTAAGGATAAGTTATGCTCAACAGAACACTCAAAAACTATAATAATTGTAGCCTTGGCTAGGAAATTCCATCAACTAGAGATGTCAAGAATAGGCTTTCTGACTTTTCCCCCCATGCTGTTATTAGAGAACATTCTCAACTATTTTCCTTCTTTCTTCCCCCTTGATGGAAACAGTACCCAGTTCCCATATCAATCCAAAAACCCAATTTAGCATTTTTAAATGATGTTGTAATTTGATCTCATTTTCTAGATTACTTTATGTCAACTGGTGTTAAGGAATGGACACTAAGTGGAAGTCCCTAATGAAGGTTGTTTAATGGCAAAGGAGTGATGCACTCAGCATACAAAATCAAGACATGAGACCCACAAATGTTTCAGCAACAGACAAAACATGTATCTTTTCTAACTGAAATCAGAACTACACTGTACATACCTACAAGTTAACACCAGATGAAGACTCTTAACTTAGCTTAATTTTGTGAAATGCTGTAAGTTGGAGAAGTTAACGATGTGTAATATGTTGTTTTGACAGAAGGGGGAGAGGAAGAGGAGGAGGAAGTAGAGGAACCAACCAAGCCAGTGGAGGAGATGACCGAAGAGGAGCGCATCAAATGGCTGGGCAGGCCACAACTGGGCGAACACAAGAAGGTCGAGCTCAAGATCATCGAGAGCTACGAGTTCAAGGTCGGTACTATGACTAGATGTCAATATATGAAGAAACATCTCACATGTGAGCTTCATAAAGATGTCTGATGGAAGTTTTCATGTAGTGCTATCCACATCCACATGGCATCCTTGCCAGCTAGGCAGTGGGATTCTGGAGGGTTAACTGAAGGACAAACAATTACAGAGCATCTTTTTTATGGTGTTATTATTCAAATACATGTATCACAGCTACAATGTATGTGTGGGTAACAACACGATAGCTGCCATATTGAAATGTACATCTACATCTAGCTTACTTCTTATCTGCAGCATCACCTCACATATCCTATATCATCTGCAGCATTCTGAACACTTATCACTGTGACAATGTCCATACATCCACCAAATGGATTTGAGAAGTGCATGATTGTATGTTTGGATATAGAGTTTGCAAGACTATCTAAATGCCTTATGTGCATTGTATATATTTTCCATAGTTACTTATAATGGACTAATGGATATGGGGGTGAACTTGAGAGGCTAATGCTTCACACTTACATAACAGTACCAATGGTACCATACAACTGGTGCAGGGAATGCAAAACCAAATAAAAACATGTGAAGTTATTTTATCTTGAAATACACGAGGAAGCCCAAACGAACTATGCAGTCCTGATATTAGGCTTTCTTTGTACTTCAATCTACATGACAGCACATGGCAATTTCTCAACTCTACAGACAAAACAAATGTCAAGTCTTTTCCATCACAGGTTGCTTATTGTCAAGATTTTAAAGTTCACTATTGGTGAGGACTCTTCTCTTGTACAGGGATATATTTAGTTTTGACTTAAAGATGTCTTCTCTAATAGAAACAACAAACAGCGTATTGTCAAAAGAATATAATGAAAATGTTTCAATGCAAATAGGTATCACAAAGGTGTCCATTGTTCCTCATCAGGTTGAATGTACCGCTGAATGCATGTCAACACTCTGGCATATCCCTGGCATATGAATTTAAAAAAAAACATGCTAGCAAGCACAGACAAAGGTTTCGATCTGCTGGTACCCAGAAAAAGCATTCCTTTCACATTGATAGTGTTGACTGTTAAAACAGGTGTGTGCTGTTGTCTGATTCATGCAGTCATGATCACAAGCATGTATCACACCTAGACTTTGGTGGTTCATACATGACTGACACTAGACAATGATGTCACAGTCAGGAAACAGTTGTGTAAACAGGCTGAGTACTTTGACATTTCTGTTGTCTGGGGAACCTTGGGCGAGGGCATCAACCTTGCACAGAGTCAAGTATGCTCCAAACAGCCCTGTAGCATGTTGGAATGCAATGTACCAGTTTTAGACTTTAATTGCAACACAGTTTATTCCATCATAATATTAAACTTCTTGCAGCTCTTCCATTATTTTTTAAATTTTCAACAGCACATGATCATTTCCTTGAGGGATAACAAAAATGTTCCTTTTCATGTGTTAAAAAATCATGTAGGTCCAACATTTGCTAATAAAAAAAAACTAATTTTGACAATCTTGCCAAAGGTAGATTCCTCCAAAGTAAATACCAGTAGCAAGTCTTTAACAGATTTGCTACTAGTATTTACTTAACATTGGGGTAAAAGTAAGTGTAAAACATCTTGGTGAAATAATACTGTTCAAGTCCCATGTAGTTGTAGCCCTTGTGCAGCATTTTACTACTGTGATGGAGGTGCCACTTATTCAAGTGCCCATCATGTTTATTCCTGTTACCACCAAGTTCCCTTATCGGTACATAACAGCAGGCTGTGGCTGTGATCTGCTGATTGGTTCTTGACTGTAGAACCTCCCACTCACGTCATAGCGATGATAGCAGAGCTGTAGGCTACAAGAGGGTCTAAACTACCAACATGATGGATAAGCTGGTGTTTACCACTCACCACTCTGGGAGTGGTGCAGTCATTGACAGTATCATGGAGTCTTGCCCAGAGAACTGTTTAGAGTTGGAGGTTCCTTGTTAGCACTCATTTCATTTGGGTACAGATTACATCCAGATGTAAGGATTCTGAAATTCAGGGACCATCTGCCTGATGTTCTACCTTGATGAAATATATATATATATATAAGCTGAAATTACAGATAGTTCCAAAACGTCCAGAGAAAATTGGTGTTTTAGTTGGTTCTTAGTGTATGAAGTTTGAACGTGTCAAAGTTGCTATGCTAAGAAAATATAGTTTACAACAATTCCTTTACTTCTTATACCCTTGCCACCACTGAACCATGCATATACATTTTGTACTACTGGTACGTACTGACACCTTTCCAACATTATCTGTCAGATATATTTCCTCACAGTACTGATAAAAATCCTTTTCCGCTCTAGATCTAGTTCCATCACTGTTACAAATTTCCACTGGATTTATATAAGGTATATTCCTCATAAGGTGTATTCTTCACAGGATAAAAGACGGGGAATTACTTTCCAGCAATTTTTCAATTTTATCTTCACCAAAAACTTGGCCTTCCTAAGATTCAATTTCAGACAAGCTAGTCATTTTCTGGTATTGGGTATAATGTCAGCCTTGCAGCTTTAAGTCTAAGTGAAAATGAATATGTCTTTGAGTTCTAATATGTTGATTGATGTCCCATTTCTAAAAGAAGTATATTTTTCAGAAATTTCAGGTTTCTAAACGCAAGTCATGTTTGAGTGGAAAGTCAGTACACACACAACCAGCAGGTTTATGAACCATTGATCCAACCTTTGTAAGACAATCAGCTTATCACCATCACACCCAATTAAAAGGCTCTGTCTTCTATTATTGATAAATGTTGATCCATCCTTGTTAATCATGAAGATGAACAGCAGCAATATTGATAACCAACGAATTTGGCAAGGAGCCACACTGACTATCAGACATCTAGTGAACTGAGGACTGCTGGCAACTTTCCTAACAGCAGCACTTCTCCCCTTGCTACTAAAAAGTCACCTTTCCTTAATGTGGTTTTACATAATGTTCCATTCTTCTATTATCCCTCCAGAGCTTTATCTCAGTGATATCCAGCAGGCATGCCTTTGTGATGCCTAGAATAAGCTAACAGTGATTACATAATATATGTTGCACATATAGAATATGTATATTACATACGTGTGACGTACATATTCTTGCTGCGACCCTCCCTCTGCTGTATCTGTAAAGCCACTAAGCCCTAGAAGCTGATTGCATTGGGTAATGTTGCTGTACTGACGTCAATGTAGGTTTGTTAGCTGCATAGTGGATTGCTAGATCTTTGGACTGGAAAATGGCCCTAAAAGAGAATTTAAGACAGAGACCTGCAGCACAGTATAGATGATTGTATCATGGAGGTAGGCCATTGAGGTAGAAAAAACTGAAATTAGTCTTTCTCCATTAGTAGGTAGCCCTTAAAGGTTTTTCTATATAAGGGGATGTATTGCGATAATTTATATATACTTACTGTATGAATATCTTGTCAGAACATAGTGTCAGAACTCAAGAATGTTCTAAGCCTTACAAGCTGAGTAGGGGGGCTGGGAGGCACCATGGTTTGTATTTGGCTGGCTGTACAATTCAAATTCATAATCTCTTCCATCAGTAATTCATCTCCACCCTAATTTGTAACAACACTACATCATGTAATCTTGACAAAACATTGGAGGGTTGGTAGTTGTCCAAATGGCAATGTGATAAACCATGGTATAGAACATCCTTGGATAAACATGTATTTTCAGAAAAAAATTAAATTCAGTCTTTTACCAAACAGTATAGAGATGCTCCTATGAGATGCACAATCAGCAAATTCAAACGTTTGAAACGTTTCTGTCATGTAACAACTTTCATGAATGTATTCTTACAACATTGATGAGTAACAGCTGCCACTGTTTGTATTTCCAGAATGCCATGGACAAACTGATGAAGAAGACAAACCTTGCCCTGGTGGTTGGTACCTCCTCATGGAGGGAGCAGTTTGTGGAGGCTGTCACTGTTTCAGCAGGTGCACTATTATATACCTCACTTAGATTAAGGAGGTTTAACACAGACCTCCTTGCACAGATCAATTTCTATCAGCGGTAGAAAAAGGAGGAATTAAAAGTGCAAGCCATTCGAAATTTTGGGGTGCTCTGGAGAATGGCTGGTCAGAATGTCATTTTCCCTTCCAGTCTTTTATTTCTGTATCAGACAATTAACTTTGTTCCAGAACCATTCAGTTGACTGTTGAGAAGAATTTTATAGCTATCCTCCAGAGTCTGCAAAGTTATTAAATGGCAAATCCCCAATACTTATTGGCCAAACATGGGTTGAGGCTGCTATTACAGTCACCATTCAACAGGAGGTAATAAGATTCATGGAATACGAGTCCTATAAGGACAATTTCTGCAATGTAATGGCCTCACTTTGGAGGCAACTGAAGTGTATAGGCATTGCTGGAGGCGGGCAAATGCTAGTTATATTTATGACTATTAAGTTAACAATGGAGGCTTGCATGCAGAAAGTAAGAGGTGTTGCCTGTGGGTTGGAAGCATTGTATGTGGGTTGCAGACTATGTGGGAAGTTGGTATAGTTGACTAGTGCAAAATCACACAAGAAATATCAAATTAGATAAAATTTTGAAGCAAACTGTTGGAGGTTGTGCAATGTGACCTCATTTCTTCGCCTGTCATTGGCAGCACAACACTTGCATATTCCATGACAAGAATGATGGTAATTCCATGATATATATGGAACTACAGTCTCTATTTGCTAAACCAAGTCATGTTGATTGTTTGATAATCTGCTGTGAATGAACAACTTGTACATTTGCATCAGAACCCTGTTGTTACTTGGAGCAAGTGAGATCATCTTAAGTATCAGTGAAAATTTAAGTGATTTATATAGAAACCTAAAACTTCCTCTGTCTGGGAGCCATCTTAATGAATGATGAAGTCAGAACATGCATCTGAAGTACATGTGCATTGTAATGTATATGTCTCCTAGTCTCCTACATTATTAACTTTGACATATCTCCAAGGCATGGCAGACTATCAAGACATGAATAGTGGAAGCCCAATGCTAACACAACATCACTACATAACGGAATCTCACAAGTTCAAAGTCATGTAAACATCCCAAAAGTATATTTAGCAGCCTTGAGGATTTTTGTTACGTGTCCATAAAACTTCAATTAACTGGCAATTTCCCAAATGTGGAGGCCCCATGTTAACAACACAGTAATAATTGCATAACAGGATCTCACAAGTTGCAAATATCATCCCCCAAAAGTATAATATTTAACAGCCTTGGGAGACTTTTGCCTTGTGTCATTGAAACTTTAAATGGCAATTCACCAAAACAGTCATCATGTTGTACCAATGATCCATTTGGATTGACCAATGCTCACACTCCCTAGGAAGTGCTAATCTCACACTAAAACTGTAATGTGGGTTTTGATGTTGTTTCCCAGCCGGATCTAAACTTAAATTAAAATACAACTTGTAACATTTCAGAGATACAAAATGCATGGATGATATTCAATGCATAAATATGAAGTGGCAACCCATGTAACTCATTGGTTCATGTCATACAAAATTACCCATATATTAATAACTATAGTTATAATCTCTAAGTTTCAAGAATGGCAAATGTCAAAGAAACAAACAGAACCAAATGTGTAAATAGCATACTCAAACTGCATGCACAAAATGTTTTTGTTATTTCCTCATAGGGATAATACATTACATCATGCATCATTCCTGACGTGCTTGACAACTCCTAATCTCTTCCACTCAATTTTCTGAAATTCTTGTCTTAGAACCAGAAACTAAGAGCCTTGTGTATGATTCAGATACATTATGGAATCCTTGGATTGCCCAATCTGATGCAAGCAAGGCTCTGACCTAGTTTCTTTGCTTTCTAGATAAAAGTGTTTGATATGCATATTCGAGTTTGCAACTTGGATATATTTTACTTGTCCCATGTATATGATAACAGCAGTGGAATACAAAGTGTGCCCTCTAAAACATTACAGGGTAATTTGAGCATGTTATTGTTATAATGTAGAAAATTGGAGGGAAATTATTTCCAAATACTAGTTTGTTATGTCATGGATTCACAACCAATTTCACAACCCAATGTTGTATAATTGCCTGTCAATCATAAAAAATGAAGAAACCATTATCAATAAGAATCTAAAAACTTTTGGTAGTTGTCTCTCCGCTTGACTAGAAGAACACACACTCAGCAAGCTTTACCTCAGTAATACCATTACTGAGTTGACCTTTGGTAATTAGCAGCCATTTATCAAAGCAATAACACTGTTAGCATTAAAGGGCATCGCACATTTTCTTCCTCCAAAGTCAAATAAATATGACCTTGAGCCTCCAGATTCTTCATTCAAGAACTACAATTGCAGTGTATTGTACCTACTATGGACCAAAACACTTGTCCTTCTTTCATTAAAGAATTACTAGAAGTATCCTGCAAAGATATCCATAAAATGCAAAACTCTGGATGACTTCCTGATATGGACAACCATAAAAATTCTGCAGTAATAACTCTCTTGTCATAGGAATATGCAAGGTGTCGTAAATTGTCCTACCAGCTAGATTGGAAAGGATCATCATATCTATCCTAGAAATTCCCTGCCAGCTGCCTCCAGAAGCTGCCTCTATAGCAGAAGTCAAAATGTAGTTGGATCTGTCCCTTCAAATCAAGCTCAAGACCACATTAGACTAGGCTGACCAATCTAGGCAATATTACAACACAGGTAATGTTTTATGTATCAGGTGTATTGCATCATGTACATGTTCTTCTATACATTCCTTTTTTTCTAAGATATGTGACATGTGTTGATTTCCACCATGACTGTCGTTATGTTCTCTCCATCTGATACCTAAGGGAGTGAAAGGAGTCCAGTTCCATTCAAGGACTGACATACATCATCTTTCAACAACCCTGAGCAACATTTGAAACCATCCTTAAAATATAATTTGCAAGGGTTTATAGCATATCACACGTAAAAAAAGAAAAACATATCTGTCAAATTTTTAGGAGAGTACTCGGAGCATTGATGGCAAAAATAAGAGACTTTGTTGTAGCCATTTCCAACTGCCAGCTTGCTGTCAGAAGTGGCCATTACAGGTGGCAGTGGAATTTATCACAGGCTGTCTCATGATATGCTGACTGCAGGTATTCGCAATGTCATCAACTCCACTGAGCCTTTCTGAAGAAAAACTGCAAAAAGTCTGATTGAAGTCATAAATCTTCTGTAGCTTGCAGCTACAATTCAACCGCAGTACAAGAGCATCAATGAACACTCAGTTTCCCATGTAGCCAAAGCTTTCATGCTGTCAGTATGGACTCTTAACACTCCCTTCAGATGCCATCTGTTGCCAGTCACCAATGTGATCGCAACCATTAATCTTAACATTTTGTCATTGTGCTTCCTTTCTCTTCCATATTATTTTGCCCTGTCTGGTGACCATTTTTGCTGATTACCATTGAATACGCATAGGGGAAGGTAACCCATTTCACATTGCTTCTGATGAGTAGTGTCCTAACCTAGTGATGTAGAATAGACAATAATGTACAAACTGTGTGCTTCTGACACTAACACTTGTGTGAGCCACAGGGTACAACAGATCTCATGTTCGCTTTTCTACAAAACACCAAAACAAAACCAAAACAAAACAAAACAAAACAAAAAAAAAGAGATTTTGAAAACACTTTTGAATTCCAAGTGATTATTATTCTGATGTTGGATATCTTGGGCATAACACAGAAAACATTCTCACATCAGAAGTACTGTGCATTTGTATTTTGAATAGTATTACAGTAACTCTGATTTTGGATTGCTCTGATGCAGTAGTAATTCTAGTCAGAAGTAAGAATTGCTCCCTGTGGTTGACACCTATGGAAAGAATGTATCAGCTTCAGTCTGCACTGCTGTGTCATGTAATATAAATAATGCTTGGATACCATTGGCAATGTAGGATGCCTTTTCAACGTGTGTCTGTGGGGTCTGCACCAGACTTACAGATCATATACTGTAGATTTACATTGCACCATTTGTTGTGCAAGTTAGGTGGTGAGTGCATACTCTGGCCCACATGGAAAAAATCTGTTTCTCTTCAAAGTTTTCTGTTTCAAAATATGTCTTAATGCTATAAGTTTACACTGATTGTGAATTAAGCCAAGATACCAGTTATATATGTCAGACAGATTCAGAAATAAACAGTCTGGAGTGAAATAAAGAAACGATCACTCTCTCTACATAATCATGAGCCATTTTGCCTGAATAATGACCTATTTATCAGGTCATGTCATTCTGTAAGTCAGAATTGGTCTTTACGAGGACATGATATGATTCTGTGAGACAGAAGCTCCCTCACATTATTAAGGCATGTACAGTCATGTACTTTCTGAAATAATCCAAAAGTGTGACAATCAACAATTTTCTGCTCCTCAAGTCTGACTGAAACATTTAAATAGGACTGGTGTATCTTGGGCACTCATACTCATAAACTTTCAGCTTTCAAGACATATTTTTCTGATAGAAAGTTATGAAAAAAGAAGATTTCTTCTTTGTGGTACAGACTGTGCTAACATTTCCCTAACAGCAACTCCCTAACAACATTGCATGTGCGGTTTCTATACAGATTTTACCTGTCAAGGGTGCAACGAAGGCATGTAACAACCTCCTTGCATTTTATTCTGTGTCTAGTTAACCCTGTCTCTCACCTCACCTCACCTCTCCTTGTGTTGAGTTGTGTGCTGTTTTATAATTTGAAGTTGTGCTTTCCTAATGTTGAAACAAATGACATGACTTCTGGATAAATACTTGAAATTGATATTTCTTGACTGTGTAATGTACAAATGTAAAGAAGTATATTCATTTTGAAATTCTTTGTTTTATCCCAAGAATTAAAACCTTTACTCATTTGACTGCCAGCAAAATTCAGAAATCATGTTGACCAGTGTGTTCTGTTTGAGGTTGTAGTGATCTTAGTTATCATTATCTCTGACTCCATTATGTTTTGTCTAAAGAACAATGAATGTAGACTGGGTACCATCCTGGTGAGTTTATGTTTGCTCCTGTAGTTGCTGGGTGTCAACCAAGTTGGCTAGTGAATATAGAATAGTGGACATAAAACTAGTATGGTACCCAGGCTACAATGGATGTATTATCATAATTATGATACACTCATCATTAAATCCTCATATTGAGAAATGTTATTCAGTTTGTGGTTTTGAGATCAAAATTGCATTACAATTAAAGGGACATTCTGTGATATGTTCTTAAAAACTAATTGGAAGAAAGAACAATCATCTTATAGTTGGGTGCAGAAACAAAAGTCAAATGCAAAATCATTTGAAAACGAGCCAAAACACAACCTCAGTCAAGTCTTCCTAGAGGCTAAAACTGTGTGTGCACCAGCTGTTAATTTAGCAGTCTTTGCTTTATGTTACCGTCTTGTCAACAGAAAACAAGTGAGAACCTTCTGAAGGACATGCTGCAAAACATCAGCTAGTAAAACATACATTGTCAGAGAGACTCAGACTTCTTATAGAGACATCTCCTTACTTCAGAATGTGATTCCAAAGTTCCGTCAGGATGTTATTTGATACAGACAAAGTCAGACAATTCAGTATATGCCAAAAGCTATACAATTATCAAATCGAACCTCTGGAATAATGTCACAACTTACTCACATATGATGGCTTAAGTAAAAACTAGTTTCAAACTGTCACATTACAACTTCAGAAATACGGACGACTGTCTTAAGGGATGTACTCCAGCCACACTTGTAATATGTCCATTGCAGCATTACCTAAGCTGTATTTTGTAGGAGGGTTTCTAACCCTACCGAACTCCAAATACAGCTTCGAAGTTTTTGGATGTCTCACATGTTTCTTGTATCTCTTTCTGGCGCCATTTTCTTCCTAACCACTTCTTTGCATGCCCTTTTTCTTCTCTTTCATATGATTTTGATGCTTCCATATGATGACACCCACTGATTACCATTGTCATTCCATTAAACAGAGGAGGAAGGTAATTCTGTCACTCCCATCTTTATGTTGTACATGTTGCACTGTAGATATAATTAAGCACTTAGCCAGACCCTCAGCACTTAGCCAGTTCCTCAACTGCCTTGCACAGAAAACTGTGGCCTCCCTGCACTCGTCAATGATGTTGTTGGGCATGAGTTTACCGCACATCATAGAAATAGGGTGTTACTTGTGTTGGATTTGTAGGATATTATACACCCTGGTGACCCAAATGTGTGTAATATAGACTCTTAGTAATATGGTCCTGGTCTGTGATCTTGCATGTTTGAATGCCTTGTCTGTAGAGTTGTTAAATTCATGAACTTGAAGGTTTTTAGTCATTGTCACTGTTTTGTCAACGTGTTTACATTACACCAATAAGAGATTTAAGTGCTGCTACAGTTTAATGGTTTCCTTTGCTTTGATTGTTTCCAAAGTTAGTAATGACTCCGCTCTTCACCATGATGTTATTGATGATGATTCAAACATGCATCTTTCCTGAGACATTGTTTGTACAAAATCCATCTCATGATGGGCATGATTTAGGGTCACACACACATGTATGAATGCATAGCTGGTACTGGGAAGGTAAAAATATGACTTGATATAAAAGATTTCTCCACTTCAATTTGTGCTCCACCATGTTCCTATACTTGAAACATGGTAATGCTATATTCTATAGCCTACTGCTTCTTCCATTTTGACTTTGACCACTTCTAAAGCTATGATTGTGTCCTAGCCTGCACTGGTGACTTGGAATTGGGCAGATACTGAAATGTGGTGTTGTAAAAGCACAACAATTAAAATCACAGAAAGGCACTGCCCATGAATATTTCTAGTTACCTCTAATATTATTGACAAGGATTTTGTTTGAACCTTAACTCAAACAGGTTACCGTTCATGTAAGGGCAGGTATGCAAACAGTGTTGTGCAGTAAATTCTCGGAATTGATAATAAAGAACGTTTCCCCCACCACATACTAGATGAGCAGCTATACTGGACCACCACCTATACTGAGATGCACCTCTCTGAAGCATGTCTGCAAGGAATTGCTTTTGTTTTTTCCCAGGTGATGATGATGATGAGGAAGGTGAGGAGGGCGAGGAGGGTGAGGAGAAGTTGCCCTCCTGCTCTGACTACGTCATGCACTTCCTAACCCTGTTCTGGAAGGTACTGTTTGCCTTTGTGCCTCCCACTGACTACTGGGGTGGATGGGCATGCTTCATCGTGTCTATCATCTGGATTGGTATCTTGACTGCACTGATTGGTGACCTGGCTTCTGGATTTGGCTGCACAGTTGGTCTCAAGGATGCTGTCACCGCCATCTCCTTTGTGGCCCTTGGGACTAGTGTGCCAGGTTAGTCATCATTACAGTAACTGTAACAGTTAATATATTCCCTGCTATTCAGGGGCCCGTGTATTGATGCCTTGGTTATGTAGCTGAAGCACTACAGAGATTGTGCAATGGAGATACATTGTATGTATTGCTACATGTGTAGGTATTATGCAAATATTACTGTCAAAACAAAGATGCAAAACTTAATGCAAATATTATTGTCCAAGTATCCGTGTAGCCCCTTTAGTTGAAACTTAGCACTGATAATCTCTTTTGATCTTTCCAGATACCTTTGCCAGCAAGGTGGCTGCAGTTCAAGACAAGTATGCTGATGCCTCTGTGGGTAATGTGACAGGCAGTAATGCTGTCAATGTGTTCCTGGGCATTGGGGTTGCCTGGTCCATAGCTGCTATCAAACATGCAGTTGAAGGGAACCCGTTTGAGGTAGATCCAGGAACATTAGGTTTTGCTGTCACCCTTTTCTTCATCTTTGCTATTGTAACCATTACAGTATTGATGCTTCGTCGGCTACCTGCTGTAGGTGGTGAGCTTGGAGGAAACCCCAAATTTAAGCTCCCAACCTGTCTGTTGTTGGTTGGAATGTGGATGAGCTATGTAGTCATCTCTGCTTTCCAGAGCTATTGCTACATCCCAGGTTTCTAAGCTCCTAATAACACCAAAAGGTGGAATATAAGGTCTTATTGATGCTCTGAAGGATATGATGTTAACATCAATAGACTGGTATCTCTTAAATTGTGCTGATGAGGGGTAGTGCAGGAGCTCTAGCTGTTCACCATCACTCTTTTACAACAGCACACTGGCCCTCACATCAAGGCACAAGGATTGGTGGCATGGATAGGTCTCATTGCAGAGAGTGTAGATAAGGGCTTTTCTAACAATTTCTTAACACAAGAAGCTTAAGCTGAAACTTGACTTTTCTATACCTACAGAGGAGACGGGTGCTATGCATAGAGCGATTTCAGGGTGTAAGGTATAAGCAAAATTTTAAACAAGAATAGTGAAAGAATAGTGAAGTTTATCTTTACCAAATATGAATGGAACTTAGCTACATGACAACAACATGCAATGAGATCATGTTCTCTGCCTGAGTGTGAGTTGGATGACTCCACCTTCTCAGAACAATACATGAACACTACCAGGCTGGCAGCCTAGGTCTGCCCCATGTACACAACTGAGGACCAATTCTGATACCACAGACAATGCAGTGGGTCTATTACACACTAGCCAGATGGTTCTATCTGCCCTTCAGTCATGTCATCTGCAAAATATGCATAGAGATCTAGACCCACAGTATCAAACCAGTTAGCAGACCTATTGATTTCCAATGATAGTAAATATAAATATAAAATATAAAAGAGTAAAAAAATGGCAAAAGGTAAGAAGAAAATGGATCATGCATACTGCATTGCTAGCTTTCATCTGTAGTTTTCATGCAGTGCTGCCAGACCCTGGCTGTGGCAGTTGCAACAAAAAAGTTGCATTGATCCTATTAGAATGCTTTCAGTCATGTAGCTTATCTCAAGTTTGAGACAAAAAGTCAAGTTTCAGGTTGAGCTGGGAAGGTTTTGTCATTCTTGGGAGGGGCAAGCTTATGTAGACACCATGCAGCACTGTGTGACAGGTAATGCTTTCTCTGTGGCTAGGAAACTGTATGCAATGAAAGAGGTAATGTGTAACATTTTAACAATAGGAATAAAATATTAATATCCTGAAATATACTCGATGGAAATTTCTAACCAAGCTTTCTTGGTTGCTGGAGAGTTAGGCTGATAAGAGTCAAGTAGTATTTACATATTTGCTCGTTGTCTAGGTTTTTGGAAATGACTGTAGATAGGAAGCGTTTTCAAGTTGATGCTTTGAGAGATATCTAGAGCGTAGAGCAATAGAATAGTTGGCAATTTGTAATGAAAACACAATAGAGTATATTTATTAAGTAAACATTAAGCAATGTGTGACAAAATATATTGGTAATGGACAGCTTATAACAATACCTGCTGAATCAACTATTGGCCAATGAAGAACTGTGGATTTTTAATAACAAAAAATGGAATACACAAATATTACTACATACTACATGTCTGCAAGTCTATAGAAGTTGAATAAGAACAGTTAATGAAACACTTGCCACCCTTTTATATCCGTGCAATTTGAATGCCATCCCTTCATTCAGTACCATGCTATAGTAAGGCTGTTGTCAGCTCAAGTGAATGCACTATTTATCCTCTGTATTATAAACAATTGTCTCCAAAATTTTCTCTTTCTCCTACACATACGTGGTTTGCATGTGTGGTGTAAGTGTAAAGAAATGTCTGTCTTGTGACCGCTTATCAGTTTTTGGTAAGCACGACTCTTCCACCATCATTATCCCATCAGCTCCAAAATCAGCGTGAGTCAATCATGTTTGTACAGATTTTACAACAGAAATGAGCTAACATTTAATTACTAGAGAGAAAAAACATGAATATTCTAAAAGAATTCCCTTTATGAGGAATGGTGACCACTAATCATCATATAGATTAGAAGCAATATCTTTGACTGCATGTAGACACTTGAAAGAAAGTGGCAATAGACTGGTGCGATGGTCAGGACATTGTGGAAGCATGGATATTGGAGTATTTGTTTCAAGTTGTTTGTAAATGATGCAGGGTCATAACAATAGTCTTCACAACTGTACATAATGCATGCATGTGTAGTTTAATCATTGATGTAGTAATTAGGATTTTATCACTTTCAAGGAATTAGAGGAAGGCTTCACAAATTGTCTAATTAAGATTTGATATGAATTTTAGTAAGGGCACTTTTGTGGGTGTATATTGAACGCCATGTCTTTTAATTTATTGTTTGGAGTGTGAGGTTGTGTTTTTTATTGGTGTAGCTACAGGTGATGTTTTGTTACATGTATGTACTATCAGCACCTCTGGAGCTTTGACATATGTGCAAATGAAGTTTTTGTCACCCATTATGTGACTTCATTTGTTGGAAGATCCCCTTCAAAGCACCAGCACTTTCATGGTGAAACTGCTGTTGCTGTGATTGTGCACCTTCCTAGGCCAAGATCCGTAACAATTATCAAGAACACAAAAAATTATAACAGTTACTGTACTTAAAAAAAGAAACACAGCAGACTTTATTGTTTAGATAATAATTGCAGAAACAAGGAGTGGTCTGTGGAATGATGTTAAGGTGGAACTGGGTAGTTGTAAAAAAAATAGGAGAGCCATCCGTCCAAGGGTCCCACTCAGGGATGTTTGGGCTGATTCTACCTCAGGGTTTGTAGTCACCAACATAGGCTGTTCGCCATGTCCATAGCCTTGGGTCTCCTTTCTGTGGAAAGGGGACCTATACAGGCTCTATGCTGTGTCTAATATTGTACCAAATGCTGTGAAAACTGAGTGCAGTAGTGAGCTATAAAAGTCTGAAGAGACCTGTGCTAGTACGTCACCATACTACAAGCAAATTTGATTTGTGAAAAGTGACTACAGAAATTAACCTTGCGCTTTCTACTGGCAGAATATCACTTGCTTCTGCAGTCAGTTTAGCTGTAATAGCTACCTACATGTACTGCATACTTGTCAGATACTTGTCAGTTCTTGCTAGTTTTTACTGTCTTCTGTGTAAATTATTTGAAATAAACTTGGGAGTGGATGTCCTTTTGAAAGTGTGATGTTTGAGTTTACTTGAGATAAATATGTAGACCCTTTCAGGATGAAAGTAACAAAGCCCACTATGTCCTTTACTTATTGCCATGATATCAAATTTATGAACTGACAACCCACAGGACATATAAAACCTGGATAAATCTCCATAATATTATGGTCAGGGTTCTTTAATTGTCTGTGTGCATTTATTTGGCAGTTTGTGTCACAAATAGACCTACCATGTACTGGTTGCAAATTAAAGGCAGACTTGCTTATGGTCACATACAAAATATGAATCAGATGTACATTTGATTTAATGTTCAATCAAATCAAACTGGAGGCTGAAGCTTTTGATGTCTTTGTAGTAAATGCTTTCAAATGGATAAAAAACCTGAAAATATTAACATATGTTTGAGACTCACAATACATGTAGAGTGCATACTATAGACTGTAATTTGTTTGATAGTAATCTTTCAAAGTTTCAACAGTTGAAGCTCTTTTAATTAATTTTGTTTCTCACCCTTTTGACCACGACTATCTTTCGTGTCACAAACTGTTCTCTCCACAAAAACCATGCTTAACTATCACGATGAATGCACAATCCACAAGGGCTTGTTAATATGGTGAGTAGGAAAGATAAGTAAAAAAATGGGAAGCAGATGATCAAACTTGTGTTCTTTCCTCATCAATGGAGGAATTGACCATCTCTCCACTACATACGTCTGTTCCATTAAAAATCACATAAGAACGTAACAACATGTTGACTTGTTAGAACAGAAGAGAAGATGACATCCTAGCCTTCAAGTTTCTCTTGCCCAATGTTCCAGTGGTCTCTGCACCCAACAACAAGCTGTCAGGATCTGGCCAGGCTCCAAGGCACTCACAGGGACAAATGCAAGTGCTGGGGCACCTCTTCCATCCTGGTTTAGTCCACCTTCCATAACTGTACAACACATGAGAGAGAGGGGGGGGTTAGTTATAATTATGTGTTGCCTCAACAATAACTAATGAAGCTACATGTAGTACTGGAGCTCAGCTAAGACAATTAAAATCACATTCAACATTCCATTCTATATAATTTCATTGGTTTCAATCATGCCTTTTCGATTCTATATTACAGCTGGACAGATTCTGGATGACTTCAATTTGGAAGCATTTTGCATTAATCATCATTATGTGTTCTGCACACCTGGATATGGCACTTGAAGTAAATGAAACAGAAATCACTTCCAACTGGTGATAACATATGGAGGCATGAAGTGAGGAAGAATTGGTTATCTTTGGCAGCCATCATACCTTATCTGGACATTTGTGATCAGTGAGGCCTGCAGCAAACTCATTATGTTTGATAGCACATTTCAAACTTATCTTACTGTGCTGGAACTTCACTTTCATTATGGTGAATTAACAGTCATTTCTCTATGGCTCTCTTAATTTTCCGCCAAACAGGCATGAAAATTACTTTGTAGCAGATGTCAGCGTGAGAGAGGGGTTACGGAATGGTAGCAGCTGATAAGGTAAACAGTGTAACCACATAAGCAAGCAGCACCAAATGCAACCTGTTCAATATTCACCTGGGATGACTGTAGGTGGTTCATGCAAAATTTTATTTACTGGTTGTAACATGACAAAACAGACCCGTATACCTCACCTGTCTGCAACTGTTGTTCCTCTGCCACTTCTGGGAGGTAGAAAATCCTAACAACCAACACATCCTGCAGCTCCAATCCACAGACAGACAGCAGATCAGACAGCTCATGTACCAGTGTGGAGATTACCTCTTCTAGACTCGTGCACTCCTGGGATGTGCTGGGTTTACCTACAGACACAATAGGTTGAAGGTTAATGTCTTGTCAAGCTTGCCAAAATACGAAAGGGAAACATGGAACATTCTTCCAAAAGTGAGGCACTATCTATCTACCTGAATCATCAAGGGTACACAAAAATATTTATGCGATACAAAATGTTTGCAATCTCTCTGTTCACCTTCCAATGCTACTGGCATTATCTGAGTAATCTAAATCGGTGGAAAGAACATATCAATCAGATTGACATTTAATGTGGAAGTAATCTGCCCATCCGGAATAAGATGGTAACTGTGCAAGAAACCAAGGAAATGGAGAATTACAGCTGTGAACTACATGAGGCCCACATTCAGGCATTCAGGGCTGCTCATCACCTCTCACTTCCAGGACAGAGACAAACATAGAAATTACACCTTTATAGTCTCCTGTACTGTCTTATAAGCTACCATAGAAAAAGAATTTCAAGTTTTTTTTTGTATTGTTCAAGTCACACAGATTATGATGATCTGCAAATTCAGAAAAGCACTCAAACATTTGAGAGATGAATGACATTTAAATTCATGTACAAGATGTTCTAAAATATGCAATAAAATGATTGGCACTGACATTTAAAAAAAAGGATTTCAGGTATATTGCCTAGTATTCTCTTCTGGATTTTGTTGCAAAAATGTAGTGAACCAGGATACAAAGTTGTCTGAGCACAGGAGTGTGTGGTTTATCATGATGGCACAAAATGGGCCTGCTGATTTAACGACTTGCTGGGATGTGTTGTGGGACTCCGTGCACAGTGGCACTAAAACAAATGGCAGTAATGTCAGCATTTGACAGGCCCATGATAGTTTCCCAGATTTCACTGATGGAAGGGATCAGCAAATTGTCTTATCTTCAAAGGCACCCCTTCATAACTGCCCCAGGTTAGCACATTCCCACGTGTGAAGATGGTTACCATGGAAATAGTCATTAAACTGAAGGAGCAGCTTGTTTCTAAGGCTCAATTGGATAGTGCCATGACAAGGGGCAGATCTAAATTTAGGTATTCCTGTTACAGCTGATCTGTTTCCTGGAAATGTGATGTTGGTTTGACCCATTTTTCTTTCTTCTGTTCCTCTCAGACCTACATGACTGGAAAACAGATAAAACTAGACCAAATCTAGTAAAGATTTTGCCCAGAGCTGATAATCCAAAACTCACTCTAATTGGGAGATCATATCCAGATTACTTATAATATACATAACATTACTTAAGACCTACAATTTATCCTATACTGCTGCTGACTTAATTTTTATTGTGAGCCATCCTTGAAACCACTCTGTCATAATCCCTCTTGGTTTACAAATAGTTTCTTTGTAAATGGCAAAGGCATTGCCTTTCCAATATCAGAACAAGAGACACTGAAACACAGAAGACTTAGTGACATTTTAACAATTTCTCACCACGGGAAGTTGTACAAGTACCTGTCCAGTAAATTTTGCTAACATCGGATTCCATCAGTCCTCTACATGGGAAGAAACGGCTCATAAATCTACACAGTGCTCTTATCCTTTCTGGCTCAATATAGCAAATATGCTGCATGGCTGTGTAAATTGGTTTAGACACGAACCTACGCTGATCTTCACAGCAGCAGTCCGGCTGTCTGTGGAGTAACAGCAGTCCAAGGTCACCTCTGCACCACCAGCAGACCTCCAGATTCTCTCCACTGCAGAGGCGAGAAATATGTATTGATTGATCCATCTGTTTCTCTCAGCAGCAGTATGTATGGTTTGTGATAGCATGAATGAAAATGATTTTACTTTCTTAACTTCCCGTCAGTTCCACATGTCAATATCCATGGCATTATTAGGTAGCAACAAGTAAGGTGAACAACCACATAGTACATTTGTATTCAAGCTTCATCCATGACAAAGAAATATGAGCTGTACTATTCTTGCATGTAACAGACACTCTTTAATAATTCATATGTTTAAAAATATGTACTACTGAAAGAAAAAAGACTAACTGTAACAATATATGAAGACTGCAAATAGACACATGACATTATATGAAGTACTTGTGTCCTTTTCTGTTCGCCAAGTTGGTAATAAATGACTGCATGAAAGCTTCTGTCTTTGATACTGGTAATCTATAATTATCAGAGTTAAGTATTGTTAATGATAGCATGGCAAATGCTGGTATAGTCTTATTGTGATCGATGTTGGTGTCCTTGAATTCCCCATGGACCTGACCATTGGATCTGTGGTTATTAGTAACCCATGCATTCATTCTATGCAATGATTAACTACCTAAGGTGAAGGTCTGAACACCAAAGTGCAACTTTTGGTAAGATGACTGATAGTAGACGAATACTTGTTATTCATTCATAGCAACCAAATGGAAAATGCAATGATGACAGCATCATTTGTTAGCACTTAGTATAGACTGGTGTAGTTTCATGTATAATCCACAACCATCTGTGGAGGGATTTGTTCTAAAATGTTTTGGTACTTACGTGAAATGAGATACTGAAGAAAACAATTTGTGTATATTGAAGTCTGTGCCATGTATAAATGTTATCAGGCATGTCAGGCATTGCCGGTACCAACAAATGTTTCCCCCCAATCACATTACTTCAGCTTCGCCAATATCTACCCCTCGGGCCCCCAGATCTTCTTGGCACAATAGAGGATCAATATGATGGTGCACCAGAAAAGAATTTAAACATAGTGGAGGATCTCCTAATAACACTTATAAATTCCCACCAGAACAGACGGGGGAAAACGTTTATATTCACAGACATTGAGGTAGACACAGATATCCGATAATTGCATCCATCCCACCCACCCTACCAATGATTCCACTGCCCACGTTTGGGACATTTTTTGACGTGAAATATGTCTGGAAGGACAACACAATGTATTTACTTGGTTCTTGTTCAACCTTTCCATAGTGAGGCAAACAGTTATGATTTGAATGTTCTTTGATGGAGTCAATGTAGTGTACAAAGTATACCTGCAAAATCTACCAGCCTGACTATAAAACAGTAGAGCTTAAGAACAAGGCAACTATGATATTAATTGTTCTTTCTCGTATATGTTGTGAATCAAAAGACAAATCTACTATGGCCCTCTCCAGTAGTAAGCACAGGTTGGACAGATGAAACTAATCTCTGGTGCATTGCAAAATTAAATTGGTTTCTAGATTAAATACTGTCTCTCTTTCCAGTTGTTTCAGGTGTTTTAGGTTGTAGTGCCAGTAAGTTTTATTTTTATATACTGTATCTGTCTGTATATCTAGTAGTATTGATTATTTAATTGGAGAGATTACATATTGTGGGATAGAGAATATGTTAAAATATTATTATTTTCATACATATAGACTTTACTATAATCATATTTTGGATTGTGTATATATAGTGAATATAGATCCTAGTATTGCTGTTAAACATACCGTCCCAGCCAGCAGGATCAGCTGTAGCTGTGACGTGCCACTCCACCAGTGCCCCGCGGGGGAGGGCAGGAACAACCACGTAAGTCTCCAGACCACTCCTCAGGCCTTCGTCCTGCTGGATATTATCCATTACCTGAGATATAACGTTATATGGGGAAGAAGGGCAGAAGTTATTGCTACATATATATATAGTACTCATGGCAGTTAAGTTTATGCTGATAAGGAGAGCAGCCTTTATAGAGAGCAGACATATTGGAAATAAAAATTGAATTATTTCAACTTGTGACACCAAGTACAAACAAAATCAAAGTTTTCATAGCTTGCAGTGCCATGTCTGTTGACTGCACTACTTATTGTCTGCACTGTGTTACCCTGGGGCCAACTTCATCATCAACCTTCATTTGTCTCCAGAGAGACGATTGATTGCACTCACTTACCCCAGGGCCACTACACCACCCACATAGAAATGCAGAAGCCAAGATGACAATGAGCCAGAATGAAGCTACACCAACATTAATTAGTAAGCAGCATATCACCATCATTCAAAAAGTGAAAACAATGATACCCAAGCTACCATAGAAAATTCAGTTAGCATCTGGATCAATTCCAAATCATTCAAATCGCTCTAAAAACATTGAAAATGAAGATATGTAACATATTGGAAAACATATTGTGTTTAAAACATTTTCTTGGTCTGTATTTCAAAAACATTGGCCTGAAAACCGTCATGTGTTTGTTGCTCTTACAAACGTTTCAAATCCCATTTCTTAATTAACATGTTCCTAGTTTTGATGTTAACAATGTTGTAACATACCATTCTCTATCACTCCTACCTGAGTGTTCTGCATCCAAGCACCCTTTGCTATCTGCACATAACTGATGTCAGTCACATAACAGATGACAAGTCTGCTGTTCATAAGGCTGGCACCAGCACACATGGCAGACAGGACCCTCTGAACATGGCTCAGAGACAGCCTGGTAGGATTGACAACAAAGACCTCAGTCCTTGAGCACTAGTCCACTGTGCCTCACAAGTTACTCACTAGGGTGTGATAATGGAGTGTTTGCTGTAAGAAGCATGTATTTCATGCTTTTTAACAAACGTTGGCATGTTGACAACCAACAGAGATGAGCTTTCATGGCAACTGAAGGTGTATTTTAGTAGAAAAAGTATGCATTTTGATATCTGTGACAACATATGGTATGGAATTCTCATAACAACAATCTGTACTTAATAATGACATGTTGCTAATAACATTTTTTCTGTGAAGTACATTGTGAGTGTGTAGTGTTGCCTGTACATGTACGCTAGGGTGAAGATGAAGTTATGCATTTCGCCATGACCTTTTAAATAGAAATTTAAGAAATTTAACACCACAACCAACATGCTGATAAACAATTAAAAAGGTCTTTTATCAGCATACAAATAAGGCCAACCTTGTCTGAGGAATGATGCCACCTTCCACTAAGAGCATGGTACTGGGACACAGGGGGATCTGACCAGCCAGGAACAATGTCTGAGCAACCTGGATGGGATGGAAGGAATATCTGTCAGGCCGGTATTATCCTTTAAAAACTTCTGTTTGTGTGATTTCTTTTGTTCCAAATGTATCTCTCAATTTACAGAGAAAGCAGAATCAGCTCTGAGTAACAATTTAAATGCATCACTGGCATTTTATGTCTTTAGGCTTCCTTGACATATCTGATAAGATAGACCGTTTTGTAGGCTTTAGAAATTGCTATGTTGTTTGGGATTTTGGTGTAATCCTGTTTCAAACTAATATCGCCAGGCTTTCAACAGTTATGTCAGCTACATGTACAGTATGTATGAATAGGTATAGAGTATAGAATCAGAAATTAAATATGTTGTGTGAGAGGAAACTGTTAATATTGATTAAGGCTTTCGTTGGTGGCTTTTGCAATGGACCTTTGAGATTACCACTGCAATGATGTCTATTAGAGTCCATATAAAAGGTTACAGCTTTGCCATTGACTTATTGAAATATGACAGCCAAAATATCAAAGTTGACCACAGTTAATGAAGGGTTTCACCTTTCTTCTGGTAACATGATAATCCAATTGTGTACTTGATTATTCAAAGGTCAGTAAATGTCAGACAGAGATGAAAAGTGGAAGCAGGATAAATTACTAGAGTTGGACATGTCTCCCAGGTTACCTGGTACTCTCCCCGCTTCATTTCAGGACAACAAATGGGCAAGTGTCTGCCAGACTAAATGAAGCCAGTCAGATGCCCACCACATCTTCATCAAGCATCCTTCAGGAAACTTACATTACTATGGGGAAAACAGCCTTTTGTGAACTGCTATTTAACATACCATTAACATTGCCTGCAAGTTTACTTTTGAGAGTAATCCTTTGCTTTAGTGGGTTCTTTTAATCTTATGTCCTCTGCCTTCTCATTTTTGACTAATGATAGCATAGATTAGATAACCATTATAAAGTAACCTTTATTACATGAGGTCAGCTACAAGGCAATTCATCTTAATTGAAGTCATGAAATGGGTTAATGAAGGCTCAGTAATATTGCTGATGGGACCATTTGACAGTGATGCAGGTAAGCCAAAGGAACTCAAAAAGATAAAGATATGACAGTAACTTTTTCTGACTAAAGCTGCACTGGACAGGCTTTAAGGCTTTCGTTGGGGGCTTTTGCAATGCTAACAAGAAATCAAAGATTTCACACTTCTATGAAGTATTCTAAAGCTGTTATTTCTCAGTCACTTATTCTGTATATGCATTTTTTCACTGGCTTTGACAAGGCAACTGACAGAAGTATAGCAGAAAACCGAAAACAGGAAATGAGGTGACCTTTGGACAATTCCCTTCCTCCAAGGTTGCAGGAAGTTATTTTGACCCCACATTTGACATTTTTGTCAGTTGGCAACTTGCACCATTTCCACCCTCCCTTCCTGCCACTCAGCTGCATGCATTCAAATACCTACAGATACACAAGCAAACACACACATACACACATGTACAACACACACACACACACACACACACACACACACACACACACACACACATGCACACACACACACACTGTGCCTCACATTGAGCCTTATCCTATATAACTGGAGACTAGTTATATAGATGATCAGAGAAATGTGATAATGTTTCACAACAGTGTAGGTAGCTCCTTTGAAGTAGTGTTTGAGCACTAAAAGATACAAACCTATTTGGAAGAAATCTGACAACAGCAGTCTTTGTTTGGCACTCTTGACCTTAAAAATCTTTCTATCTGTGAGTCATAGAGTAACAAAACTCAACTCTACCTCTGGTATAGTCTTCTCATGGAAATGTCAAGGTTTGATACTTTAAGCCCCTTATCAGGCTGGCTCAGCTGGTTAAGTTCCGTAATCCAATTGTTAGGTGATAATTTGATCCAAGACGTTATGTATTCATGGCTGACAGGCATATATGCAGAAATGCATCTGGCTTATTAGAATGTATTGTTGCATGCATGACAGAAGCTGTATTAGATGGCCTAAAAGGCCATTTATCCATGCAGATATTGTAAGATGTACATAGAAAAGCATGACAAAATACCATCTGAAACCCTAGGATGAAAGGAAGCCAAACTGGCAACAATACTGGTAAGCCAGTCTTTGATAACAGCACATATTTCAGCACCAGAGACATCTGTCATTTTCTTCATGCAATATCTACCATGCATCCGCTATTCATTCTTGTCAAACTATAGTTCTGGTGGGTAAGAAACAAGATAGATTGTCAAAACTTTCTTACACACAAGAAGAGGGAAGAAAAAGTTGACAACCAACCAACCAATGATGGCAAAAACATGGCAAAAACATAACCTTATCTGGGGAGATAATATCATAACAGAACATACCGAATATACTGACTTCAATTGGTCCTTGTATATAATTACATATTAGAAAACCCTGTCGTTGTACTAAAACTCTTCTAAAGTAAAAATCTGTTGCACAATGTGATAAGGGACAAGGTGTTAGGGATGTCTCAGGGACATTGACATATGATCTTAGCCTGCCAAAGGAACAAAACCCATCCCCAGGGACAGGCATGCTACTCATCAGTTACCCCTGTCTGGAATGACCTCAAGTGACCTTTCATTGAAAGTTGGAGAAATGGATGAGGGCCATAAGTGATTACTGTGGTACTTGGTTTAGTGGCCACCATACATCAGGGCACTGCTGACAATGGTTTAATCCTCCAATACAACCAAAAAGTCAAAGGAAGAGGTTAAAGGGCTGGCATGTCGTCAATCTAGTGATTTAAGGTATTCATGTAACAATTACAACATTTTGGGGATGGAGTTGGTACATTGCACCAAATTCTACTAGAGATGGATTAGTCTTATTTGTAACAGTCACGACATTGCTGAAGAAAATAATGAATGTCAAAAGGTGTCAAACCAATCTAGAAAGGATGTCCAATGAGTGTGGATCATGAGTGCCTGTATTTGACCCCTGATATCCCCTTATTCCCACACACCACTTAGTCTGGCTCTCCAGATAAACCTCTTAATTAGTTGCGGGTGCTATCTTTGTAACAGGAATGTCTGTTCCAATAGTTACTCTCTGACAGGCTAATGAGTAACAACCATTGGAACAGTTGCAGAACTCAGGACAGCTCCCAGGCTAGTTAAACACTAGAGGGACAATCCTACTGGACAACTGTGCACAGGGCAGTCCGTAGGTTGAGGTAATGGATGGAGGACTTATCACTCTGCACTGCCCATCCATCATGATCCAAGGTAGTTTGGGAGACAAGTGCTTGACCAGTATAATTCTCATCACCTTCAATGTCCTTCAAGGCAGAGTCATAAAATGCATCTGGCATAAATCCTGCTAGAGTTGAGTTATGGCAGTATAAAATCCTCATTACAGATGTGTTTTCATACAGTAAATATTACATGAGATAAAACCATATAGTGGAACATTGGTAGGTCTATGTTCATCAAGCTTTGAAATTCATTTCACAGACACGTGAGCAACATAAACATCAAACAAATAGCAGGACAGCAAAAAGCATAAACAAGGAATATTGGTAAATTTGAAGCTTGTCACACAACCAACAACAAAACAAAGTGAAAGCAGTATAGAATGGATTTCACTTTTTTAGCATCCACAAAAAAGGCTTGACAGCATGGTGTTTTGACATAATTTCTATCCATACCGGATACCTTATTCTGAAGGATAAGTTGATGTCATTACAGTTAAGGCCCTAAAGGGGCAGTTGGAGAGGTGAACAATGTTCAGTAGCCCTTGTCTTCACCACCAACTATCAAATGTGGCTATGAATAATGTAGTTAGGATGTGCTGTAGTCCTGGCTAGACTGAGAGGCAAGGGCACATCATAAGCAGGGCCCCTGGGTTATTGGGTATAAAGGTCACTGATTACATGGGAAATGGTCATCTTGGAGGGATCAAATGTTGACTCTACAGTCTATCTATTGAGGCTGGCAGTAATAGAAGAAACAATCCTCCTTTGCATTTCTATTTTCCTTTGGTCAAGCAGGTCATACAGACCACTAGTCCTCAGGCAATAAACTACAGAGTTGATAATTACAAGCTGCATAAAATTTAAAAAAGCAATATACAAACCTGACTGCTGCTACCACTAGAGTACTGAGCCAGATCAAATGCATCATGAACTTTTGTAGATAAAATATACTGTCAGGCAATTGAAGAAATCAAGCTTTGTGGTAAGTACATGTTATTGTAATGTTGCGTGTTACATAGCTGTTATTGTGTGTTACATAACTGGATTTTAACAGATAATATCGTATCCACAGGGGGACTGGGAGATCCCCAAAACAGGAGCTATCCAATTGCAAAGGCATGAATTCTTTTATTGATTTCTTTCACCACATCAAAAACACCAGCCTCGATTACTTGAGCACTCAAAGGCTTTGTCAGTTTAATGACAATGTTTGAAGAATTATGTTCCTGCCAGGAAAAGTAGGTTAGTATGTCACATGTGTAACAAGTGACTGAATTGAGTTTAGTTGGGAACGAAGAGTCAGAAGTTTCTTCTGTTTTGTTCCTTCTTCCAACTGAGTCCAAGTAATTACCCGAGAATAGCCTGACTGTGTTGGTTTGAAATTACCCATTAGGAACTTGACCTCACTCAGGTAACACCATCAGTGCTGCATCAGTGTGTATACGTGACACTCTCACGATCCATTAACTCTTCACAGCTACATCCATCACTGATTACTCTTATCTGAATGGTAAGTCTTACCCATTACATATTGGTTTTTGACCTAAGGCAGAACAAAGTCACTAAACTGGTCCTGACTTTATAGCTTTTATCATTTTGCCTACAAGTATATATAAAAAGAATCATTATTTAGTCAGCTATCTTGAGTTACTCCAGTCTTGGCTTTCTAAGCTCCTTTCTTTTTATTTCATGAAGATACACCCTAATAATACATGAAGGTGGCTATTAGCTGAAATATTTGATTCATAGGTAGCTCTATAAATAACATTGAAAGCCAAAAGTCAACCATGAGGCGACATTATGTTCAAGTGTACACGCTCTATTCTAATTTGTTATTTCTCTACTATTGACATGACAAGTTACCTTTTCCTGAAAAAAAGCGTAGGTCAAGAAAGTGCAGAGATCGAATGACATCGGCATCATCTAATGACATAGTCTAACAATTCTTAAGATGTAAATGGAAACCGCTAAAGCTCAGTGCCCATCCTAACAATGACATACCCTTTTAGTGGGTCTAAAGCATTGAAATGCAGCCTGGCTGACATGACTGCCCTGATAAATCTTTTCTCCACAAGTAGGCTGACTGTGCACACTATGGCCTGTTTTACTCACAGCCATGACATGCCCACCGGCTGGGCTACCATAGCATTGGCCATGCTGGAACATGACCCATGAAATTGCCTATAGGAAGACCATATGGTAGATAACAAAGAATTTACATATCCTTCCCTGTAGACACATATTTCTGTGTTGAGAGGTAGTTTACTGGCAAATGGTTCATTCCCAATAGAGAGTACTACTTCTTTGCTTTACAGCTGAACTCTATTACCCAGATGCGGTTGGCTATATTCTTTACCCTCAAGTTAGGATTACAACAAACCAAAGTTGGAGGACCCTGTAAGGTTTTTCCCTTGCAGTCAAGCACATTATATCAGATGGTATGTGTTATTGACCTAATATGTAATCACCGTGAAATGAGAAAAACAGAATAAGCATAATTTTTATCAGCTGCTGACTACTCATAATATGAAAATTGATGGCAGACTTCATCCCCCTTATGTAGGTCAGAAATACAAACAAACATACAGCCTAACAAACACATAAACACACAGACACACATATACACAGGAAAACAAACATACAGATAGGAAAGCCAAAACCAATGCTCAAATCCCTGGAAATGAAGTAACAACAGTTATCCCCATTGGATACCCCTCTAGCACTAAGGATAAGGGTAATCATAACAGTTATGGCATTTAGGCACAAAGGCCAAGGGTGATCAAAACCCAGATAGCCTTTTAGCATTTGAAATACAATTCATTGCATCATAGGTTGCCTACTGTCACTAACAATTAGAGTAAACCATGAAATATAAGAAGAAATATATGAAATATATCAAGAGTGATTACAACATGGATGGCATTCTAGCACCATGGACAGGACTAATAACAACAAGCTATTGGTAATGTGAACAGGTTGCAGAAAAACTACATAAGGAAAACAAATTTGGTAGACAATGAACTTTACTGTGTGAACACAGTATGTGTAGTTGATAGAATATCAAGAAAAAATTAGCAATTTCAAGGGGGGTCCCAGCTTAGCATACCTTTTATACAATCAGACAGGTACAGGAACAGTGCCATTCTGTACCTGTCAAAACTCCTGAACAGTGTTTCATCTATTGTGTAATCACTTGACCACTGTTTCTTGTTATTCCATTTGGTTATGTTTGTAGATATTGAAGCTGCATAATTCAGCCTTTTTTCTTTGTATGATTAGGCTGCAATGTAGTTTTTTTACATCAATTTGTGAATATACCATTTATACAAATAATATTAAAGTATTTCCATTGGACATGTAGGATAAAAAGTAAAACCTTAGATGATGAAGCAGAGATGTGTAGGGCAGGAAAAAAGACATTACATGTTCCCAGTAGTTCTGTACAGTATCTTTAATCTTGAAAAGTTCAGCCATGACCTTTTGTGGGCAGTCTAAAAGCACTGAGTGTCGTTTGGCTGACAAATGACAGCTTGAAAGCTGACTAAGGTTTCTCCAGAAAGCATGTTGAGCACACTATCTCCTGACATGCCCTACAGCTGGTCTATCATGACATTGGTCATGCCAAAACCCGACCTATGAAATCGGCTGTAGAATACATGATGATATAAGGGTAAGAAACATGCTGCTATGGAAGAAATCATAGCCACTTACAAAGATGGTGATCATGGTATGGATGGCCTTCTAGCCAGGTGATAATGGCATGAAGGGCCTACTAGCACCAAGGACAAATGTCATGACAGCATGGATGGCCTAGCACCAAGAAAAAAAGTGATAAAAGCATGGATGGCCTTCAAGCACCTCGAACAAACATCATAACAGCATGGACGACCTTCTACCACCAAGAATAAAAGTGATAACAGCATGGATGGCCTTCTAGCACCAAGAATAAAAGTGATAACAGCATGGATGGCCTTCTAGCACCAAGGACAAATGTCATAACAGCATGGATGGCCTTCTAGCACCAAGGACAAATGTCATAACAGCATGGATGGCCTTCTAGCACCAAGAATAAAAGTGATAACAACATGCATGGCCTTCTAGCACCAAGGACAAATATCATAAGAGCATGGATGGCCTACTAGCACCAAGGATAAAAGTGATAACAGCATGGGTGGCCTTTTAGCACCAGGGATCTGGGTAATAATGGTATGGATGGTTTTAAAGCACCAAGGACAATGGTAATTGTTTTATGGATGGCATTCGTAATTCTAATGATCCAAAAATGAAACAATCAATAATCAGAGGAAAAATCTGTCATCATTACTGTGTAATCTGACCTGTGTAACTTGGCTGTATGGCCCAATGTTAGCAGGAGCCCAGTGGGACAGGCCCTGGACATGCATGGTTCTCCTCTCCCCTGCTCCTGTCTGCAGTCTCCATACACAGCAGTCCAACTGTACCAGTTTTCCTGATGTATGGAATGCTCCCTTCACACAAACCCTTTTAGAAAAGAGACAAATGGTAGTCATCAAGAATGGAAAAAGCATATTCTGTTGACTTTCATAGATACCATACAATCAAAATACTGATCCTATAAGTTTGTTACTTACATTTCCAAATCATCCTTTAGTTACGGCTGTTTGATGCCTGTAAATGTAGAAACCATGCTAACTACAGAAAAGTTTTCTATATCATCTAAGTGGCTCCAACCTTGTTTATTTCATGACAAATTCATCTACAGTTCTAAAGCCCAACCTTTTTTACCGCTTACTTGACTACTGTTCTGTCCTGTCCTGTCATTAAAGACTGATGGTTGGCCTGGGGACACACTTCTGATCCCTGAACTTCCAATATCCAATATCCAAACAGCAAAACCATAACCACATCTGGGCCTTGCCTGGAAGCAGGCTTTCAAGATCTACAACACCAGCAGCCTACAGATCCTTTTAATGACCATCTCCAATTGCTCACTATTTGTTACCCCAAAAGTGCACTTCAGAGATTAATGTTAGGCATGAATATAAAAGCTAAACGCAGTTTGTACCATTAGGTAGCATTGGATTTGAACCCAACTGGACCTACTGAGATAGACAGTATTTCTACAATATGTCATCATATTCTGTGAGAGCAATTTTATGGAATAGAAGTGGCAAAACCTGGAACAAAATGATCCATCAGTAGAAACAGTTCACTTCAGAGTGGTAATACCCTTTGATCCTTTAATGCCATGTCTTTAAGTACTAAAAGGGCAAGCGAAAAATAAAAAAGGCGCAAGCAGTCAAAGCCATCAGTCGTAAGCCTTAATGGGCAGTCACAAGGGGACACTCTCCTCCTGCAAGCCCATTTTATTTGAAGTAGTGGGGTATTGATACCTTTATATCTGCCGCATGTTGCAATCAGGGATGATAGTTCTATCAAGCTCAACCACCAAGTGATGTATGATCATGTCTTCTACAATCTGAGACACATTCTTCTTCAAGTCATCAAATTCAGTGTAGACGACTAAAGCTGTAAACTGGCTTCTGATACACTTAGGGCTTATGTTTGTGTGAGAAACATTTCTCAGTATGGCATAATGAGTTGGTATGATTTAATTTCATCTATCAAATCATGATATGTGCTGTATTCTACCACACTTTTTATTCTTTTAAGAAATCTCGAAGAAGCAGTCGTTTTACAGAAAATAAATGATCAGTTTTAACTTTGCATCCATAGTTGACACCTGTTTCATGTGAAGAATTAAAGTCCATACAAAAAGCCATTATCATTCATCCAAATCTGTTATTAGAATTCATCTGGTAGGCAGACTACTCTAACTGGGATGTACTGGTCCAGAACAATTACTCATCAACTGGCTTAATTCAACCTGGGGGTTTAATAGATACACTGTACAATATATGGATGCGAAAATGAGGTCACATATTGCTAAAACACCCTGAAGCACTTGTTATTGGCTCAAAATGCAATAATGTGCTTTTTAAAATCTCACCTGGAGGGTGGGTTGATGGAAAAATATTGTTTATATCTTGAGTTGATTTTGCCAAAGTCTGCCATGTCGGCCACATATAATTGTACATGCACAATGTCAGCCATACATAGTCCACTTCCTTCCAGTGTGTCTGTAAGGAAGATAGGGGATAGACAGAAATCACTTTGAAGAACAAGAAGAGATTATTATATCATAATAACTTCAGATATACAGTTGCAAACAGAAGAGCCAATTCAGAACACAAAATGTTCACACTACTTAAAACATTGTGTAAAGTCTGTGAAACGGTTGTAACCCTCCATGCCAATTGAAGAACTGCACAATGAAACATGTATAGTTTAGCAAGGCCTAAGGAGATAAAATGATAAGACTCTGACCTTTAATTGTGTCCATAGCAACCTGTGCTGTGTCCTCTATAGTTCTCTTGTTGTTTGAGTCCTCCGGCTTGTATAGAGCTACAGACAGCCAGGTATAGGCACCATGTGTCTTCTTCATAACAACTATGTCCTGTGTGGGGACACCTGTGAAATAGGGAGGACAGACATGTGGCCCAAAAAACTTCTAGTACAGTCCAGATGGTCAAACCTCAAAGTTATTGAGCACTGGAATTGTAAAAGTAACATGACATTGTTAAATTCTTTTTCTACATCAAATCAATAACTCCACAAAGACGGACATCTGATATCCTTAATCAACTAACTACCTATGAAATGTAGTCCCAACATTTTCATGTTTCATTAACACAGTAAGGTGATAACTGCCTACAAGGCATATCGGCCAACAAGAAAAGCATGACTTTTATCACATTTACCATATATACAAAAAAGTCAAGAAATCTTGACAACTGACCTTTGTTTGTGGAAGGTTTTAGTCTTGTATGGCTGGTTTCTTGCTGGTTTCTTTTTGTAATGTCAACATGTAACTTAACTGCATTGATGGCCTGTTGTACCATGATGTCCCCAGTCTTTATTATCAGACCAGTTAGACGAGAGGAGATATCTTGAGGAGTGTCCTGAGTGAGGAATAAAAACATCACCCAACAAGTCAAGACTAATTTCAATACTAGAGGTATCACAGCAGATTATCAATTGCCATGAAAAGTACTTGAATAACTTGTTACTATTCACCAGCAGACAGTTACTTTTACTTCTTCATAAGAAGCTGGCAGAATGGAACTGTGAGTTGGCCCAAGTTCTTACATTTATGTCTTATATAGCCTGACATGCCAGGGCATTACTGCAGAGGCTAATAGCCATGCATGCATTTCAAAAGATTGTGTTAGAATGGTGTCCATTAGGAGTAACACTTCCTCTCATGTTATTGCTCTCTTTATTGAACAAATGCACCTTTTGACATACAAGAGACTCATTATTTCATCCTTGACTGAATCTAGATTTGCTCCATTTGTTCAATTTTCACTAACACTGTTGGAAGACTTCCAAATGACTTCAGACTCACCTTAAGAAATTTTGCAAGTTTGGGTGCATTTATTTATCCTGATCAACAAGAGGTCAGATTAACTATTTGCCCAGCTAAAGATGAAAATATAATCTCAGAATGAACAGATGAGAGCTGGACGAGCAGAGAGCATGATGGTCAGATATAAGGACTCTACAATGGTGAACTTGGTCCATCATGACCCTTACCTGGGATTTGTCTTTTAAATGCATCTTGGGAAATTTGAGGTAGGCAACAGGTGCAAAAGGATCTGCTGAGTGGACTACCTTTTCAGAACTGTCTCTGGAAAAAATTTATAAATAAAAAAATGCCTCAATCTGTTAGATAACATAGTACATGTTTGTACTTGGTCAAAAAGAAGGAACAACATCATTGACTATTCCAAGATTTTGCTGCAAAGTGACAAGAACATTCTTGGTAAGATCAAACTCTGGAACTAACTAATTATCACTTATCAGAGTAGTGCTGCCTTACTGAAGCAGCCATGCTGAAGACTAATCAGTCTAAATACAGGACTGTTTCAACACTATCAACTTGGATGGTCAAAGTCATTAACAAAAACTACGTTCAGGACAAATTCCTTTCTGCCGATCTACTTACATGATAATTTTCTTCCTGAAGAGTGGACAGTCGAGAGTGAATGTCTCATACTCCCCTCCCTCCCCACAGATGTTCAGTCCAAATTTCTTACTCTGTGTATCCAGATATAGAAAAGTGAATTAATAGATGGGATAAGAAAACACACTCACATTTCTTCTCTGTTAAAATCATTAATGTGAAACCTACATGTATGAATTCCAAAATGCACTTAGTTAGCCCATCACTGTCATTTTCAATTGCTCCATGCCTGTGACTGACATTGTTTCAGTTCTTTTTCACAAACTTTCTGTAGCAGAAGAGTAAAACACTGGGTTTCCTTTGGTCCTTTACTTATTACTTAACATCATTAGTCACAGAAGAGGGATCATTACTCACAAAAATGTATGACATAACATTATCAGTACATGTACTAGTATTTCACATGGCCCTTCTCTTGTGGCCATGCTCCAACTTGAACTCCAAGTCAGAAGACTTCTACATAAATGCATGCCAACTTTTAGACTCAAATGGTTTCAGAAAGATATCTCTTCAGAAAATGTGAATGTGATGGAATTGTTGGCCACAGTTCAACAGCTACTTGAGAGGCTACAATATCTGACAGTGTTATAGGCTATTAAGAGGGTTTCTGGATTGCTTCGATTTCCTATTTCAGAATCATAAGGATCCATTGAAACCCATTAGAGATCTTTGGTGATAAAAGAGTCTAACCATGTTACATACATGTACATGTATGCCCTTTCAATGGTAATGTTCT